GTCCTCCCGGCGGCGGAGGCAGGTGGCGCTGGCGCCCGCGGGCGCAGGCAGCGGTAGTCGCAGCGCCAGGGCCGGGAGGAAGTGCGCGTCCGCCATGACGTGGTCCTCCTCCGTTGGCGGCAGGGGCCAGCTTCCCGCGCCCTTCCCGCTGGCCGAGCGGAGCTGCGCTGCGCGGCTCGGCGGCAGGGCGCCCAGGAGCCGCTGCCGGCGCGCGCGTTGCTCCGGCGCCGCAAGGGCCCGCTGCGCCTTGGCCCTCGGCTCCGCGGCGGCGCAAAGCCAGTCCGCGCCGCGCGCCTGGAGCGCGCGGCCCGCGCCCTCGGCCTCCCTCCACGTCGGCGGGCAAACCTGCTGGAAGGCCTCGAGGCTGGGCAGGCCGAGCTCCCTGCAGACGCCGGCCAGACACGCCTGCCAAGCCCCCACAAAGGCCGGGAGCCTCCTGCGCGCGAGGCCCTGGAGGCCGAGCCCGCCAGCGGCGAGGGGCAGGAGGGCCAGGTCGCTCGCGAGGGCGGGGAGCTCCTGGTGCCCGGCGAGCGGCTTCAGGATCTCGTGCATGTGGCCGAGAACCACTGCGTCGCAACCTTGGCACCGCGCCTCGTCGAGCAGGTGCGCCCTCGCGTGGTGCAGGGCCGCGCCGTTGGCGAAGGTGCGAAGCAGCGAGAGCTCGTCTTGGGCGCGCAGCCCGTGCTCTCGGAGCTGGCGGAGGGCCGCGAGGTAGGCGTCGAGGTGGTCCCGGGCCGCCTGCGGGGCGGCAGCCGGCGAGAAGCTCGTCCTAGGAAGCTTGCAGGGTCGGCGCCCGGGGCTGCTCCCGCTGCGTGGCGCACGTAGGGGGGAGTGCTTCCCACGCGCGTGAGCTCGGGCACCTCCGCCCTGGCCAGCGGCCCAGGGAGCTGCAGGGCGCGCGGGTTCCACACCTTCGTCTTCCGCGGGCCCACGCGGAGGCCCCGCGCCGAGAAGAGCCCGGGCGCGGCGAGGAGCGCCGCTGCCAGTGCGCGCGGGCTGCCCACGACGTACACGTCGTCGAGGTACGCCGCCACCTTGGCCTCGGGGCCCACGCGGCGCGCCGCCGTCTCCAGGCGCTCGTAGAGCGCCCCCGTCGCCACTGCGAAGAACGCAGGGGACAGGGGGCAACCCTGGTCCACCCCGCGCTGCGCTGTCACCGGCGCCGCTCTGGCCCCGGGAAGGCGGGCCCCGTGCGTGGTGGCGCCGCCGTGCCACGCCGCCGCGAGCCGCGCCAGCTCCGGCAGGCGGCCGGAGACCTCCCGCAGCAGCGTGTCCCGGCAGAACTCGTTGAACGCGTTGGCCGCGTCCAGGGAGAGCACGGCGGCGCCAGGGTCCCTCTCCAGCGCGGTCGCCACGACGCGGTGCATCAGCTCGATCCCGTTCTTGCGGCCGACGCCAAACTGGTGGCGCCCCGCTGCCGTGGCGATGGCTTCTTTGTGAGCCGCCGTGGCCGCCTTGGCCGCCATCCTGCGCAGCGTCTCGCCGCGGGCAAGCAGCCGCGCACCGCCCCCTGGCTTCAGCAGCGGCAGCAGCCGCCCGGCGAGGAGAGCGCGAGCGCCTGAGCCCCCTCTTCGTGCCCACGCAGGGCCGCCCAGTGCTCGAAGCGGGCGCCAGACAGGCCCGGGCCCGAGTGGCGAGGGTACTTCCCGAGGCTGCCTGCCACCGCCTCGGCGGCCTCAGCCTCCCGGGGCGGCGGGGGGCGCGCCGGGGGCGGCGGCGGCGCGCGGGCCCCGCCGGTCGCCTCCGGGAAGAGGGCGGCCAGGTCGCGGGCCACCTCGGACCCGCGCGCCAGCTTGCCAGGCCCGGCGGCCGCCGCGGCCGCGCGGCCCACGTCCCCGAGCACGATGAGCTCGTGCACCCGTCGAGCCACCTCCTCCGGCTTACGGTGCCCTGGGCGGTCTTCTTCTGGTTCTCCGGGTCGTGCGGTTGCGGCCCACAGCGCCGCCCAGTCCCCCGCCCAAGCCTGGCGCAAGCGGCGCGGCAGCACCTTCGAGGCCGACGGCCGCTCGTCACTACCGCTGGCCGGGGGCACCGCGAACAGAAGCCTCGGGAGCAGGAGCAGCTGGGCCCACGCTGCCTCGCACATGGGGCGCGCCGCGACGGCGCGCAACGCCGCGGCGAGCACGTCCGCGACCGCCGTGACCAGGGTCGGGGGCGTCGCCGTCCACGTGGGCACGGGCTCCCGCAAGGCACCGTTCAAGTCGAAGCCAGCCCACCACTCCAGCCTCGGGAGCTCGCCCGCTTCCGCCGCCAGCACGTGCCGCGGGTGGACGTCGTTGGCGGGCGCGTCGTCCTCCTCGCGCGGGACCGCCCCTGGCAGAGGCGCAGTGCAAGCGAAGATCTCCACGCGAGCCTCTTCTGGCAGCGCCGCCAAGCCCCCCACCGAGCCCAGGGGCACGCCGCCCGCGATGCAGGCTGGGTGGCGGAAGTGCCGGTTTGGGTTCGCCCTGCTCGCAAGGCGCACTGCCCCTGGCTCGAAACCCGAGCAACACACGCAGCATGCCGCCACGTGCTTCCGAGGGGCCTGGCGGCTGGCCACCCAGGCGCGCACCCTGGGCGGGCGCCCTGCAGCAGCGGCGGGCGGCGCAGCAGCGGCGGCAGCAGGCGCGGCGCCGGCAGCGTTCCCCGGGGCAGCAGCGGCGCCAAGTGCACCGCCAAATTGGGCTGCCCCGAGAAGCGCGGCCGCGGCCGCGGCGTCCTCGTTCTGATCCCCGCCCCGCCCAGCAGCATCCAGCATCTCCACATCCTCCTCCATGGCCCGGGGTTTGGGGAAGGAAGGCGAAGGGGGTGAGAGGTGATTAAAAAGAGGGATGGGAGAACGAATTGTTCAAAAGGAAGGGTGCCTCCTCCTCCTCCCCCTCCCCCTTCTCCTCCTCCTCCTCCTCCTCCTCCTCCTCCATCTCCTCCTCCTCCTCCTCCTCCTCCTCCTCCTCCCCCTCCCCCTCCTCCTCCTCCTCCTCCTCCTCCTCCTCCTCCTCCTCTCCTCCTCCTCCTCCTCCTCCTCCTCCTCCTCCTCCTCCTAATCCTCCTCCTGTTCCTTTTCGTCCTCCTCCTCCTCCTCCTCCTCCTCATCCTCCTCTTCCTCTTTCTCCTCCTCCTCCTCCTCCTCGTCCTCCTCGTCCTCCTCGTCCTCCTCCGTCTCCTCTTCCTCCTCCTCATCCGAGCCCCTGCAGGGGTGCCGCGGGGCCTGACCCCCTCGTGCGCCAGGGGTCGACTTTGCAAGGATATCATCTCGAGCGCGAGCCCTACTAGGACACGCCCGGTGCGCCCAAGCGCGCGCCAAGGAAATGGTCTCTGGGGGCGCGGTGGGGCCTGACTTCCTCGCGCCCCAGGTGTCGACTTTGCGAATATGTCTCGAGCGAGAGCCCTAGTGGGACACGCCCGGCGCGGCCCGGAGCGCGCCCCAGAAATGGTCCCTGGGCGTGCGGTGGCGCTGGGGGTGAGGATGACGTGAGCTTCACAGAAACACCCTCAAACAAGGTGTGCATGCGCACCACTAAAATGTAAGATGGCGCACGTATCCCAAAAACGCGCAAGCACGTCCGCGTTGAGACATTGCCACTGGCTGTAGCCATCCCTTCAAGTGGCATGCATCATCACACCAACACTGAATGCATACATACACTTGTAGACTTACATACATCATAGTTAATGTGTGGAATTGTATATGTATGTAGTTATATTAACATGTATAAAGTGTGTGTGTGCATATGTGTATATACATTTACATATGTGCATATATATATACATATATATATATAGCACCGGTGCCAGAAGGGGAGCTCTGGCGATAGGCTGAGCAGCACTGGCCCCCTTTCTGCAAAACGCCGCCAATCCCAATCTTCAACTATCGACACACCCCCTCATGCGATTGCCTTACCAACATCCTGAATGGGGCTGAAAGAAATCGCCAGCAAGAAGCTCGTGCACAAGAAGGTACAGGGGAACATGGCACGCCCGAGGGTGAGGAGAAACACTTTACGTGCGCATGGTTGTCCACGCAAACGAATTCGGCATACGGTCTATTCTGAGTCGGAATAAAGACGGTTGGGCTGTTAGGAAATGCTGAGACGGATGGCCTTGCGTCCACCACCACAACGACCACGTCGCATCTCTCCAACGTTCTCCACAATTGCCGCCAAACCTGCTGGATTCGTACGGCGGTGATGTAGCTGTGTGGTTCGTGATGCGAGCAAGGGAAAACAAAGCATACGGAGGACATGCACCACGAATGTGTCAACAACAACAGCAACAGCAACAGCAACAGCAACAGCAACAGCAACAACAACAACAACAACAGCAACAGCAACAACAACAACAATCATTTTACCCGAACGCTCAGTGTTCTCCCCAGTGCCAGGGTTTTCTTGCGACACCAGCCAATACCCCCACTTCGTGGGGGGGCCGTTCAAGCTCTACCAAATATCCAAACGACTCTTCGAGACCACCCACACCCAGCTTCCCGCCCTATGACGTTGGGACACTTCACTTCGTGGCGTGCGGACGACCCTGGCTACTACACTGGCGTGGGGTACACACCCACAGAGGTTGATCACATCTGTTACATATGATGTGGTACACGGTACACGTGAGATGGTACGCAGTGCCAAGATAGTTGGTCACATTTTTGGGGCAAATTCGTGGGGATGCGATTACAGAAGTACATGTGTTACACTGATGTTATACAGTCCCAAGGATGACGCATGCATTGCTCATAGACTCATGGCGCTATGATCCTAACTCTCAGTGCCCAACGCGCGCGTGCACAGCCAGACGGAGGGAGAGAAACACATGTATACAAGGTTCGTGACATACGCACGGTCCACCATGTTGTAAACGATCGCATGCACGGTAAGTTCTGAAATTATACGTATGTACAAGCAGACATGCGAGGGAGAAAGGGAGATGGCCATCGACAGTTCCAATACGGCTCCAAGGCGGAAGAGGGGGAGGAGGAGCAGGACAAGGAGGAAAGGAGAGAAGCGAGAAAGGAAGAACGCAGACGGCGCGGCTCTGGACACAAAGGGGTGCCATACTTTCTCCTGCTTTCGCAAACAGGTCCAGTCACACGTAGGGGTATACTCAAGGCCCAGGTCGGAGACCTCCTCTCGATACCGCTTGCCGCATGCCGCCTCTACAGCATCCCCCGTCAGCAGCTTTATACAAACCACATCTGTGGAGGAAGAAGCTGCCGTGGCCTGCTGCTTCGATACGGGCTCCTCCCAGTCGACCGCGGCAGGCCGTTTGGCCACGCGGGCAGCTCCGGCGGCGGCTGGCCGTTTCAATACCCCGCCTGCGACCTGTGCCGCCGGGCGCTTCAATACACGCTTGGTGACGGCCTGGGCGGATGAAGCCGCCGCCTGCACTGAAGCGCCCACCGACGCATACACATCGCACCACTTTCTCAACACTGAGCGGGACACCAAGACAGCTTTCCGTCGCATACGCAACACGGTATGCAACGTGTGGTACTTCAGCCCTGGATATACAGCGCGCATGTGGTCACCAAGTGCCGCGTTGAGCTTTTCGGCCGTGTCATACTGCAAAGGTCCAGAGTCAGGGTGATACTTCACGTACCATTGCCTCAAAACCATACCGCTGACAGCGACGGGAGGATCGCTCTCCGAGAGAAGCTGCGAGAGGACCTCCGCAGCGGCCTCGTCGGCGAAGCTCTCCCGATACTGATTGAGTCGAAGACGCTCGCCCATGCATTCCTCCACAGCTTGGGCAGTGTTCAATGCCCCCTTGGCGCCCCACTCCGTGCTGAGCCACTTCTGGCATACCCTGGCGTTAGCAGATACAGATAAATGTCCCAGGAGCCACTGCTTCAAGACGGCCCCGTCAGTGGTCCCCTCGGGCATGTCTTTGCGAATACGTTCTCCATACCAGGTCTCCAAGTGGCCAGCGTTCTGCACTTGGACAAGCGTGTCTTTGGATGAATACTGCAGTAGCCACGCCGTTGCGACCCTATCTGGCACATACAGTGGTGGATCCAACTGTCGGAGCGCCCGGCATAATTTGAAAGCGGTATTATACTCAATGCCCAGGTGGCGGATGGCAGAGCCGTGCTGCTCCTCCAGCTCCTTGGCGCTAGAAATACTGACCGTGCCAGTCACAACCCGATACTTGGCCCACCAAGTCTTGCACGCCTGGTGACTAGCATTGATACCCTTTGCCCGGAGCGCCTGATGCAAATAATACGCACTCTCGCAGTCGGCCAAGGGAGGCCGCGACAGCTCAGGGCCATACTGCTCGTGAAGGTCTTTCGCCGTCAAAGCCATGATCCAAGAACACAGGCGATACCTTGATCCGAGATGGCTACGGATATGTGCGTCAGCAGTCGGGGGCCTTCCTGGGGCCGCTTGGGGTCCTCTTGGGGAAGGGGGGAAGCCTCCTGGCGCGGTTTGGGGTCCACTTGAGAGCCTTTGGGGGGCTCCTTGGAACCATCTTGGGGCCTCTTGGGGGCTTATTGGACCCTCACGGCGGACTCTTGGGGCCTCTAGAACGCCTCCTGGGGCCATCTTGGGGGTCTCTTGGAGCCACCTTGGAGCCTCTCTGGAACCTCTTGGGGGCCTCTTGGAGTCCTCTTGAAGCCTCTTGGGACCATCTTGGGCGCCTCTTTGGGCCTCATGGACGCCTCTTGGGGCCATCTTGCGCGCCTGTTGGGGCCATCTTGGGTTTTAAAGATTCATCAAGAGACCGCGAATGGATTTCGAGATTTTTCGGATGAGAAAGTAGTGCGTTTTCATATGTTTTCTGAACATCGCATCTTGAAATTATTGAAAACCCATTGTGTTTGGCAGGATTTCGACATGCGCGCGCGGCGGCCGCGCGCATGTGCACTTCGTCTCATTTTTTGCAAGGGATGGTGGCCCTCGCAGGCGCGCAACCGTTGTTGGAGAAGTTCAAAGCACCTGAAGAAGTAGCACGCAAAGACCCTTTTGACAGAAATGTTTAAAAAGTGGTGTGTTTCCTATGAATCCGCAAGAGCGCGCGGAAGGACATTTTGACAATTTTTTCTTAAAAAACCATTGGGTTTTTGATGTTTTTATGTTAAAATCGTACGAAACCTAAGGTTTTGGAAGGATTTCGTCTTGCGAGCGCGAATGTCCACTTTACCTTATTTTTTGCAAGGGATTCTTGAAATTTGATCAACTAAGAACAAGAATTTTCATTTTCTATTGTTTTTTGCAAGGGAAAACGAGCGTCAACAAAAAACCGGATCCGGGGGTAATCCACTTTTCTGAAGCTTTCGCAGAAAAATGATGAAAATGTAGCTGCGGCCTAGGTTTTGGGCGGGGGGCGTGCACCAGGGGGTCCAACAATAATAATTCTTTAGAAGTAATAGTGTTCAACAACAACAACAACAACAACAACAACAACAACAACAACAACAACAACAACAACAACAACAACAAAAACGACGAAACGACCGCGGCATCACTTATCGCAACGGCGAAGGAAGCATGGCTCCGACATGCAAGATGGCAAGGACTGCGATTGGGAACGTGTTAGAAAATAGGCCGCCGCCGCCCTCATGCACCACATTATGAGGATGGAACAAAGCTACAGAGGAACATTAAAACAAGAAAGCGAGCGCAACAGAGAAGCCGCGCGATGGATATCGTGTTCATTCGCCGACCCCTTCGGCCTCCCTCGGCGTTTGAGGTCGTTGCCGTTCCCAAACCCCAAACTCCAGGAGCCCAGTCTGGCCGACTTGAAGGGGGCGCCCCAAAAAGAACGCTGGAGGGTGCTGGACGGTGCCAAATGGCGCTAGCGGACCAATCTGCTCTTGTATTGGCCCCGAAGTTTCCAGATCGATCCAGAAAGGCTCCGAGACCGCCGAAGACCGCCCTAAACGACCCCAAGACGGCCAAAGAGGCCTGCAAGCTGCCACAAGCGGGGGCCTAACAGGACCCCCAAGAGGGTATCTGGGGCCAAAAGGCATTGACCCCCTGCCGGTTTCCCAATGATTTTGAGGTGCCCCATGCTAGAGCTGCAGGACGCCGAAGACGGCCCATGATGCCCCCAAACTGTTGTAGGCCGTCACGGCCCACAACAATTTCAAGACAGCCCAAGGGCCCCCGCACACGGCCCCGGAGGCCCGCAAGGTAGCCCCAAAATGGGAGTAAGAGTGTTTCCAGAACAACAAACCGAGCTGGCCCTTTTTAAACATGTCCCTCCAAATAGCCGGCTTTAACACACTCCCTCCAAATAGCCCGAACAGGCCCCGAAGTTTTTCCAAGAGGCCTCCAACATTAGGCCTCCAAGGGGCCCCCAAGAAGCCTCCAATAGGCTACCCTCGAGGCCTCCCAGGAGACCCAAAGAGGCCGCTAAAAGGCATATGACCCAGAACCCAGGCATGGTAGCGGTTTGGCCCGAATGCTCGACATTCAGAGTCTGCACTCAAGCATGGCGCTGGTGGCCAGGGCAACACAATGGTATGCTTCGCTGCCATGTAAGCCAGAGTGACACCAGACATGGACAGACAGACAGAGCCCGCATGCAAGAGTCCACTCGAGGGGACTACGCGGGTTGGGGGCCAGAGCGCACCGAAAAACATACTATACGCGTCTTGCTCTGGACTGCAATTTGCCAGCAACGCGTAGATACAATGTGAGCAGAATGCGTATCATCAAAATGTTTAGGGGAAGAGAGAGAGAGAGAGAGAGAGAGAGAGATAGAGAGAGAGAGAGAGAGGGCGCGCGACGGGAGGGAGGGACGCACGACGGGCGAGGGCGCGAGGCGAGGCGGAGGGAGCAAAGGAGGGGACGACACGACAAGGGAAAGGGAGCGACCGAGGAAACGCAAGCGACAGAACTTGGGCGGCTGCCTCCTCACACTCCGTCAAATAAGAGAAATCCGGCCTCAAGGGTATCCCACGCAGCTGTTGCGGCAACTTTGTTCCAGCCGGAATGTTCGTGTACGTCTCAACATCATCTGTCCATCGGGCCTTTGGCCGCGACTGTCGGCGATGTGCAGATTGGTCGAAACACCGCGAAAAATACTTCCATTTCTGAGCCGTTGTATTGCCAACCAAACCTGTATACCCATCTGTTCGAGAAGACGTTCTGCTTCGCGACTCGTTCGTTTAATCCAGTCTGCCCAAGGCTCGCAAACAGAGTCAACAATCCGGCGGCGTGGTGGACGAAGGATCATGTGAAGCATTTGCCTCTGCGTCCGCTTGACTGTGTTCTCGAGCTCGCATGTCAGAATCCACGAAGGACAACCATATTAGACAGATGCAGTGATACTACCATGAAACAACCTGATACGGTCACGAAGAGAATAGTTCCGCCCAGTGATTTCCTCTTTGAGCATGTGAGACTGTTTTTAACTAGCGGCGATGCGAGTATCGAATTCGGTTCTGTGTGGGACTTTGAATGTAACTTTTCTGCATGTGTATCTTTGCGACGCCGTGTGGGGGAGTAGTTCCACAAGTAGCGAAGGGTCCAATATGTATTATGGACTTACCCTTTGGTGTCGATGGCCCTGATTGTGCATGATTTTCGTCTTGCCCAAGCGCAATGCCAAACCAACCTTCGCGGCCTCATTCCGGATGTCCTGCCACATCATTGTCACTTGCTTCAGGGGTGTAGCGACCAACAAAACATCGTCAACACATCGTAAGTGCGTGACCCTGTCGTCAAGAACACCAATATGAAGGCCATACCCGCTTCGCCGCCACATGGGCAGGATAGCTTTGAAAATAATCTCGGACAGCGCATTGAAAAGCAACGAACTCAATGGGTCGCCTTGCTTAGTCCCGCACAAGATCTTGAACATCTTGCTTGTCTTGTCGGTGGTGACGGTGCCTGTCGGCTCAGGAGTTCGATGTATTCTCCTGCGACGCCTTGCTGGCGCAATGCGCTCCATAGCGACTCGTGGGACACAGTACAGACATGTTCTTAAATTCCAGCGCAGCAGCCCACAATGTCACCTGCCATTCGTACGTATGTTCTTGAAGCATGGTCAGTGCGGACATGTGGTTGTCCGTGGAATACTGCTTGCGGATGCCAAGTTGGTCTGGTGGTTGGTGATGACCCAACAAGGGTTCAAATCGATTATATAATAACCTCGCCAATATTGCCTAAGACCAGAATGACAGCAATCGGCCCGCAATTCTGCGGCCGAGCGAAATCTCCAGATTTGAAGATGACGGTGATATGCGCCTTCCGCCACTGATCTGGTGTAGGGCTCCCAAGTTGTATGATGTCATTGTAGAGGGACAGACGAACGTCTTCGAGAGCACTGCCGCCGTTCATTATCATCTCCGCTATGACGCCCGATGTGTTTTTCGCCTTTCCGTTTTTGAAATATGCGATTACCTTCTGTAGGCCATGCTGCGTGAAAAGAGAAATAGATGTCGCGACGTCTTCAGCAGAGCTGTCTTGTACTGCTGATGCACCGTCGCACGACGCAACCTACAACATCTCGAGGCATCAACGACCATGTCAGATATCCGTTTTCGGTCATACTCTTTGGACCCATCAGTTTTGACCATATGGGGTATCAGGTCGGACTGTTTTCCACTCCCTGATGCTCACAATGTTTTGAGACCACGGTAGCATGGAATTGATGTCCGAATGCTGTTTTACGCGTCGTGTTGCACTTGCCTCCTGGCGAATCCGCTTGTGCAAAACATGTCTGCCTGGATCTTCGCGTGGTGTCTGGCGTCGAGAACAATCAGTTTCTTGAGATTGTCTCGCTCGCTTTCGTGGCGAATCCCCTTGTCGTCAAACAGTGTGTTGCCGAAAGCATCCACGAGCATATGCTCGATTTGGGTGCAGCGCTCGTTGAGCTCCTCTGCAATGTGCGCGTGGTCTATGACGTCCCGCAAACTGTCAGTATACTCTGAGATATTGTTCGGTGGCCAACACTGTTTTGGTTTCTTGGACTGTTTTTTCTTCAGCAGAGGCGCAGTGTCCTCGGCATTGGTCGGGCGAGCGATGGAGCTTCGTAGTAGCAAGCATGTGCGGTGTCGCAAGCAACGGACAGCAAAGGAGGGAGCATGCGGGTGGCGTCGGCGGGGCACGACATGACGCAATGGCCACGTACGCCACCACGTGCCCAGAGAGGCGTCACACTGCAACCCGACGATATGGCGGACGAGCGAAAGAAAGGAGGAGGAAGGAAGGAGGGGAGGAGCGAAACAAGAGACCTGGTTCGGTGATTGGTATTGCCGCTGCTGGTAGTGTAAAGGTCATTCTTATCCACTGTTTCCGTGGCGCACGGGGCCGGTAGTCGGCCAAGGAAGCAACACCACTTATGCGCGATGGAAAACACAGGAAGCTGTATGGCAAGTTCGTGTCATGACGACCCAGGCACTGGTCTCTAAGACAGCGTGGATCGTTCGGCCTTGAACGACCGTGGCTGTCTGATGAGCGCGCAGGTCGTTTGACATCGGCCGACTTCGGGCAACTGGAGGCGTTCAACCTTATACCTCAACGCGGCGCGAACATGCCTGTATACCAGAGCTGATGCTGATGGTGCGAATGTCACCCCTCAGTGCCCAACCAATTGAACCCGAGGGCCCAAGGCGGCGCGCCGCGCGCCTGCAGGTTCTGCTCGTAAGCGGGGGGGTAGCCGCCCCGCTCCTGCCCCACGGGCGCGCCGCTTGCCCGCCGACCGCGCGCGCTCCCCCCGCTCAAGCGGAACACGAGCGGCGGTGACCGAAGTCCGGCTGACTGCCCGAAGCGCTCGCGACTTCTGGTCTGGCGGTCAGTGCTCCCCACCCCCATCCAGGAGATGCTCCAACGTACTTCCAGCAAGGTCCTCGCAGTGAAGTTCAAACCCGACTCGTGGGCTTCCCCCTGGTGCAGGCACGGCTATCCTTCGCCTCTCCGTCCATCCCCCCGTCATCCTACTACTGTTTCCCCTTCACCTTCGTCTTCTTTTTCTCCTTCACATCTTTTTCATACTCAAAACGTTTGCGCCAGTCTTGGACCCGAAGCAGTTCTCTGACGGAAGCGCCCCCAACCTACAAGACAATGACTACGGCCTGGTAAGCTGTACAGTTGATCCGTTGGAAAACGTATGGCCATTTCGCCGAGCATATATCGAATGGTGATAGAAAAACCGGTGGAGCACACACACACGCACACATACATATACATACATATATATATGTATATACACATACCTATGTACGCATATACATACAATAGTGTGTATATATGCATACATATACATATGTTGTCTATGGTCAGATGTCGCTTAAGAGAGACTCGCAACAAACCTGGACTTAGCCGGCAACCCTTCAACAATCAAATCAGAAAGCAGTGGGGATTATGTTACACCTGATTCCCCGAAGTAGGTGAGGCGGAAAAAAAGGGGAAGGACGGCGGGCCCAAGAAAAACCTGAGCTGAACATCACGGACAAGTTCAGCGGCATTTGCATAGGGCATTAGCGCTGGGTTGGTCGCCTATTGCTGTCTCCACCAAATGTTGGACACATTGTCTATTAGCAGCTGTCGGTGAGGAGAGGCTCGCAGCTGGCCTGGACTCAACCGGCAACCCTTTCAACAATCAAATCTGAACGCAGTGCGGATTACGTCCTTTCAACAATCAAATCTGAGAGCAGTGCGGATTGCGTTTCACCTGATTCTTACATTCACCCTTATATAATGTCCTGGCAAGAGAGCGAGGAGAAGAGGATATACAAAGTCGAGGACTCACATTTCCTGGAATGCTGCACTAAGCACCGAGAGAAGGCCTCACATAAACTATTGGGGCACTCCTGGGCTCTCATTGTACGCCAAACGCCTTGTGATTTGCCGACAAGAGACGCATGAGGCTGCTGGGAAAAACTGCAGAGCCCTCTGGATCCTGAACAGCGACGCCCCATATAACCGATCTCATCAAAATGCCAAGCCAGCAATCTCATGGATTTCTTCCAAAGGGTACCGCACGCGCACTGATCCAACGCAACTTCTCGATACTCAAAAAACACTTGTCTCGAGCGAACTAGTCCAAGATAAAGCCAGATACGGGGCGCCGGCGGATTTTCGATGACAACAACCACTCGCATCGGCAAAAGCCCCCAAAGTAGTTCAACAAATAACTCCACCATTTTATCGCCTAGCTTGACAGCCGCCTCGCCGCAGGCACGCGCACGGGTCGGATAGCCCAAGAGGTTCACTGTAGCATCGCGCAATCCAAGGAGAGGCGCCCCGTCGCGATTACGAGTCCGAGTCTCAGTCGAGCGCGCCATGCCCACGCAGAGTGCAGAAAGCTTGGCTTTCAGCCCGACGCGGTTTATCGGCGCCTTGAAATCACGGGCCACGCCTTTGATTCATTGATGACCGACACCCGGGCAAGGTCTGCGCGCGGATGGATGCTCGCGCCCCGGCCGACGCCGCCGATGCCCTGGAGCCCCGCGCTGTCGAGGATCCCGCGCGTGCCGCAGTAGAGCACTTGGATGCCCCTCTGCGTTTGCCGGCGGCGGGCACGCCCCGGCTGTTGTCTCAGAACAGGCCCACGTGACAAGTGACCCACTTGGCCGCGTGCCTCGCGGCGGTCTGCTGGGCGGGCGATAGCTTCGCCCGCTCCTGCTGCGCCGCGCCGGCCGCCTCGCACCTCTTCGCGGTCGCGTCGGAATTCCACATTCCGCGGCGCTTGACGTCCAGGACGGCGCGGACGCCCATCGGGGCGTCGTGCGAGGGGCCGGCGTGGCGGAGCTGGCACAGGCGGTGCTGCTGCTCCACGGCCAGCCCTGGCCCCTCTTGAGCCCTGCCCCACAGGGCGCCGAGCTCTCTCTCGCTGGCGGCGAAGAGCTCCGCGAGGCGCCGGCCTCGCAAGCGGCTTTGCAGCGCGGGCCCGAGTCCGGGCAGGCATGGGGGGGTCGAGGATCAGCGCCTCGTCGGAGACCCCGACCTTGGACGTCTCCCCGCGATGGGCGGGGTGCGCGTTCAGCGCCCAGTGGATGCTCGAGCCCCCTGGAGGCACCTGCAGGTCCTCCCCCCTCAGGCCGCGGGCGTCCGCGGGCCGGAAGTAGCGCGCGAACGTAGTCAGATGGCGCAGAGGGATGGCCCAGTCCTGGAGGTGCTGGCACAGGCGCCGCACGATCCAGCACGCGACCTCGTCTGAGCAGGCATGCGAAGGCATGGGCCTCGAGCAGCTCGAGAGAACCGGGGGAACTCAACTTGCTGATGGGGGACAGCCCGCGCAGATGCCACGCGGCCGCCGCGCGCATCTTCGCGGGGTCGGGCCGCCCGAAGCCCTAGAACAATAAATGGTCCGCGAAGTCCACCGGCGCAGTGACTGCATTCTTCGCGCTGTCCAAGGCGCAGCCGTTCATGGCCGCAAAATCCTGGAGGTCCTCCCGTAGAGGGCCTCCGTGGGCGCCACGATCGAGTGGCGTTCGAAAGTGGCGCGGCGGCCGGCTGGGGCTTGATTGACAAAGGCCCCGAAGATGCCCGGCCGCCGTTCGCGGCAAGACTCTCTGGTCGGCCCCGAGATCCGCTCCGGCGCCCCCTGCCGCCGAAGGCAAAAGGCGGGCGAGCTGGCGGGGCCGGGGGGGGCTCAAGCCCCGGCGGCGCCTCTGGGGCCGAGACGCGACTCCTCGCCCGTGGCGCGCCAGCGCCGTCGCCGGGCCTGTCCGTCGGGCTGGCCCTGGCCCCGACGTCTAGCACCCGTCGTCTGGAGGACCTGTCTGCCGTCTAAATCAGCTCCGAAGGTGTCCAGCGCGGTAAGAAACTTGAGCCAGTAGCCAATAGATGTGCAGCAATGCGTCTGATGATGATGCGCAGGTCGCAAGATGACGCCCGAGACCGCCCAGTGACCAGAGATTTCCCCAGCTGGCCCCATAATAATACTAGACGCTTCACAAACGAACGAGTTGATCGTATATCATGTTGCACCCCCCAGCAACGATGCCCTCGCCTCAGGAACAGGAATGGCCTCCTCCTTCCTGAAACGCATGGCGAAGACGTCGTGCCACTCGTCGGGGTCCACGAAGGGCCCCGGGCCTTCGTCGAACCCCGGGTTATACTCCAGGCGCTCCAAGGCCTCCCCCACGGCTTGACGGGTTACAAGCAATACGGTGTCCAGATCTCCCAAAAGATCCCCGCCTAGTGCGTTCTGACGGGAAGGGATGGCGGTGGCACCCCAGCTCCAGCAGCGCGTGTCGACCTCTCTCCGCGACGAGCATCAGGTGGCTAAAGGGCAGCGCGAGGCACGAGAGGAGCGCCGCCTCGGCCGACAGTCCGGCAAGGGCGGAGGCAAGGGTGGTGCAGCCCCCCTGGGAGGCCTGGGACCTGACCTTCCAGTGGCGAATCACCCAAGACGGCCACAGCTTTTCGAGAGAGCTCAGCCTCGACATCTCTTTCCACTTCCTGCGGTTGACGAAGAGTCGGCCACCGCGGGCAGTCCTTCCCGCTCAGTGCGAGGACGGTTGGCGAGGAGGAGGTTTTTAGATAGAGCTACCAACTCTGTCATCAGTACTTTGACTGAGATGCACGGCGGCGCTGAAGTAAATAATGGGCCCCCCTGCGCTTGGCCAGGTGCTCTCGCAGGATGCGATGCGCCGCGACGTCGCCTCCACTCCGCCGCCCCGAACCTTGCGCGCCAGACGCGGAGCCGTTCGCGAGCTCTTGTCAGGCATAGGAAGCGATTGCAGCACCACGGTTCGCCATTTTCGGCGGGGCCAGGTTTTTCTTCCAGATCCTGGGAGGCCTTCGGTAGATCTGCTGACTACCTTCCCGGAGCCTGACCAGGATTTGCTGAAGTCATGGGGTTCTCATATGCTAGCTGACCCTACTGATGCGGGGTTCCATCGAGAGACCGGGCACCAGTATTGGTTGTACTTCGACGAGATTTCAAAGACGCAGCGCGAGGTCTACGAAGAGTTCTTGAGAGACCATAACAACGCAAATATGATAGGTTGGGCGTGGGCTCCCCTCAGCCCTGCGACGCCTTCCTGAGTAATCGCGAAGCAGAACCGACTACGTCTTATCATGGGCTGTAGGAGTACGGACTTGATGTTTCGGGCCCCGCCGGCCCCGGAGACGGTGGCAGCTGCTGCCTGGGCTGACCTCGAACGGCCGCAGGAGTGAGCTCGGCGGAATGACGACGATGAAGATCACGACGGAAGCGGGGGAAGTAAGCTCTGGATGGCGCAGGCCGATGTGAAGGACTGCCTCCACCGTGTTCGCAACCTGCCAGGAATGCGCCGCCATGCCTGCGCGCCGCCTAGTACCGAGGGGGGGGGGAATCGACGCGGGGATCGGGGACTCCGAGGCTCTTTGGGGCCTGATCTGGGACACTCACGTGCATCCCATGCTCTCCACCCCCCCCATGGGCTTCTCTTTGGCTTTCTACTTCGCCCAGCGCCTCGTGGGGCACCAGTGTCGGGCTTCTCTGGCTCACACGGGGCTCGCTTACAAGTTTCTGAGGGGTGGCGACCCGGCCCCGGACCTCGGGGCCCATCTCGTCGTTCCCCCCCGGCATCGGGAGGGAGAAGGTTCGGAGGGTTAATCATGTCATCGTCGCTCGGTTTCGTTTCGTGCAGTTCGCGGTCCATGAGGCGATCGACCCGGAGCTCTTGTCTTTTTCGCTGGGACGCGCCATAGATGGGGAACCGCCGATAATTCGCAATCGGCCTGAACGAGGAGAGCGACCACGCGAGGTCTGTTGGGCAATCGGAGGAGGTCAGCCCGTCGCGAGCAGACAGATGAAGCAGTTCGTTGGACATGTCGTTGACTTCTTTCTGATCAGGCGAGAATATTTCAGTGCTGCGCGCCGCGTGCGACTTCGGTCAGCAGGCAGAAAGTGCCCCCGGAGTTTGCGGCCATCTGCTCGCCGCGAGGTTCGCTGGATCCGGCCCCTGACTTTCGTTGGCCTGGCTCGGCTGGACAGGCACTGGCACGACGCAGCTGCGTCGACTGATGCGCGCGAGACCGGAGCTGGCATTGCGTCGCGACAGGCGGGCCCTTGTAGAGGTAGCCGCGATCGGCCGTATCCGAGAGCGTTGGGGCGACGGCGACCCCAGCTCGCGCGGTGATCTGGCGCCGAGAAGTCCGGCGCCGATGGGTTCAGCGAGTGGGCATTCTCGATCAGTTGCAGCCTGCGGCAGATGAGCTCCGCCGAACGAAGAATCGGGGCATGGAGTTGATCAGCGCAGACCATGCTCTCCAGCGCCCCCGAGAGCACCTCATGCTCGAAGACGCTCCGGTCGCCGCTCGAGACTCCTGAGGTGGTCCGCCAAGATGCGCGCTGCGAGACTGGCGTCTGGGAGCGGTCGACGTAGGTCTGGCACTTCCAGGCCACCGTGCCAGGGCCCTCAAGGCCCAGGCCCCGTCTCGGCTTCATTAAGAACGAAGTTGGCTACCCCATATGCAAGGGCCTCTTGCGGCAGCCCAATGCGTCGACTTCACTGGCAGCACTCTGAAGTCGCCCATCTTGTGCTCGTCAATCGCGCTCTGGGCGATCATCTGCAAGAAAGCCGTTCCTCCCCCAGGGGTCGGGGCCACCGCCCTCTCGCCAATCACTGTCGCACCCGCGCGGAGCGCGTCCACGACGTCCCCCTGCTGATGGCGCATGCAGTCATCGGCGTAGACCCGCGCGCGGCCCGCTTCGGCCCGATGGGCGCCTGCGGCCGCGGGGCGCCCAAGGCCCTGGCGCTGCACATTGCGTAAACGAGGGCCGGCCGCAGGGGCTGGCGGTGGGCTGGCGGCGCCCCCGGCATACCTTCGCCGCAGAGCCTGTTGCGCTCTGCTGGCTGCAAGTGCCGGCGGAAGCGATAGATGATTTTCTCTGGCACATGGCCCGGGCGACCTCCCCGCGTTCCAATCCAAGAGGGCGCGCCGCCGGGTGTCCCCAGAGGGGGGGGGCCTTTTCCCCGATCCGTCGTCGGAGAACCCCCACCCCACCCTCCTTTCCCGGTCCGTCGTCGGCACCCCCCCCCTCCCCCCTCCTTCCCGGCCCGTCGTCGGGGACCCCCCCCCTTTTCAAAAAAGGGAAGGGGGGGTCCGAGCCGCCCCCCCCCCCCCTCCCCCCATTTGGCCGCCGCATTCGCCCCCCCCCCCCCCCCCCCTCCCCCCCTTTCGCAACGGCGCCCCCCGGCTCTGGAACCCGACCCCTGCCGCCCTTAACACTACCACCCCGACCACCCGTAACCCGAACCCCAAACCCTTACCCTAGCCCCAAACAGTACTGAGTACCCATTACTAACCACTCACGACCAACTCTTCGCTAGTCGCAACTCACTATTCATTTCTCACTACTCAGTGCTCACTACTCACGACTCACTACTCACTACCCACTACTCACTACCCACTGCGCACTACCCACTGCTCACTACTCACTACTCACTACTCCCACCTCGCTACTCCATACTCACTATTCACTACCAACTACTCAATGCTTACTCACTAAACATTACTCACTACCCACTACTCCCTACTCGTTAAACACTACTCACTGCCCAAGAACCACTATCCACTACTCACTACTGAGTACTCACATGTCACTACTCGTTAAACTCACTGCCCACAACTCACTACTCGCTACTCCATACCCCTTACACAATATTCACTACCCACTACTCACTACTCACTACTTGCTACCCCCTAGTCGCTACTCGCTACCCGATACGCAATATTCACTACCCCCTACGCACTACTCACTATTCAGAAATTACTACTCCCTACACCCTACTGACTAGTCACTAGTCACACGGCATTACTAACTACTCACTACTCAGCACTCAATACTCACTACCCACGACTCAGTACTCACTACTCACTACTCTCTACTCGCTACTCCCTGCGCACTACCCACTACTCACTATTCACTTCTCATTTCGCAGTACCCACTAATCACTACCCCATACGCCCTCCTCACTCCTCACTCCTTACTACTCACTACTTGCTACTCCCTACTCGCTACTCACTACTCCCTACTTACTACTGACTACTCCCCCCTCACTACTCACTATTCACAATGCGCTACTCGCTGCGCACTATTTACAACTCGCTACTCCCTAGTCGGTACTCAGTACTCACTACCCACTCCCCACTACCCACGACTCACTACTCCCTACTCACTACGCGCGACTCCCTACTCACTACTCCTTACTCGCTACTCACTACTCCGTACTCACTACGCACGACTGACTACTCCCTCCCAACTACTCACAACTCACAATGCCCTACTCGCTACTCACTATTCGCAACTCGCTATTTCCTACTGGCTAGCCACGACTCACTACCCACTCCCCACTACCCATGACTCACTACTCACTTCTCAGTACGCACCACTCCCTACTCACTACTCACTACTCACTGCTCACTCCTCTCTACTCGCTACAATCTACTCACTACTCATAATTCACAACTCACTAACTATTCACGACTCACTAGTCTTTACTCATTACTCGCCACTTACTATCCCGACCCCCCCCCCCCTCCCTTGCGGGAGAAGCCCCCTCCCTGGCCCCCTGCTCGGCGCAAAAAAAGGGGGGGGGGTCGAAGCTCCCCCCCCCCCCCCCCCCCCTCCAGCGCCAAAGGGGAGGGAGGGGGGGCGTCCGACCCCTCCCCCTTCAATGGGGATGGGGGGGGGGGGGGTCGCCTCCCCCCCCCCCCCCCCCCCCCCTTTCAAAGAAGGGAAGGGGGGGGGGTAGAAAATCCCACCCCCCCTTTGAAGGGGGGGCGGGAGGGGTTTTCTGCGAGCACCCTTCCTTGTCAACCACAGGGTCATCCACTGGCGCGCTTTCCCATACCAGTACACAGCCTCCACTTCGTCACTCGGCGAGATGTTGAACTGGCAGTGGTCCTGGTCGGCGGCGAGCAGGGTCACCTCGGCTGGGTCATCGTCGCTGATGCCAGCGATCATCACTTCATGGTTGGAAGTCCTCTCCGACTCCAGCATACTTGATGAAAGCGAAATCACCCCGAAACGCCGTCGCTGCGGGCTGGCCGGCGATTGACTTTCAAACCTCGCGCCCCGCCGAGCTCGACTGGCTGCCACCTGCGCGGCGGCAAGCTTCCTCCCGGGTGGGGTGACTGGCGGCGCGACGGGCCCAGTCGGGGGCGCCTGAACTGCAAACTCCTGCTTGGGTCGTCCTGCGCGTCCGAGGCCCACGCCTGCGAGCAGCGCGAGGAGCTGGAACCCGACGACGAGGAAGGGCGAGCCCTCCTCCTGCAAGGGGTACGACACAATCGGACACCGCACTTCAGGGCACCCAACCTCTGGGCACACCACCTGTGGGCACTCGCCCTTCGGGCAGATGACATCCTCTTTTGCACGCTCTGCCTCCAGGCGCTCCTCGCGCTCGGGGGCTGGCGGCTCCTCCCCTCCCGCCTCCGGGGCGGACGAGGCGACCCGCTCTGGCGTCGGTCGCAAGAAAAGATAGGCCCAGCCTGGGAACCTTGCTGTAGCAACGGCAACGCAGGCGGTGAGAAGGCTGGGGCTGTGCATTCACCCATGAAAAACCTGAGCTAGACACTACGGAAAAGTTCAGCGGCGTTTTCACAGGAGGCATTAACGCTGGACTGGTCATACATACAAGAATTTCGTCAAACTGCTCCATGGCCTGCAAGGTAATGTTGCGTGTTAAAGCTTCGTGCTAAAATCGGTCGGGCATTCACGACTTTCGCTGGTGTGTTTCATGCTTACGATGGGCACTGTATGCGCGTCGGCTTGGTAACGTGGCGCCAGCCTCCACCTGAGCACGGCTTCGAAGGACAGGCATATGCTTCGAAATGATCAGATACAAGTGTCTGCAGCCTGCACCTCGAACTGCAATGAACACACGCCCCTACGCATGACAATCAACATCAGATAAGCCACCGCGCCTCTTGGCACATTGGGGCGTGTCAGAATACCAAATGCAGGCCTGTAGGGTTTCTGTTATCTTCTAGGCCCCCCCCCCCCTCCCGTCACACCGGCCTGCCACGTCTCCCGAGGCCACTACCCCTCGCAGCATACACCAAATTTTCGCTCCCGAGGCCAAGTTGCTTCCAAGACGGCCCAGTATGGTGCCCACAAGGCCAGCTGTAGCCTCCAGGCGGCCCAACATGGCCAGAATTCTTCCTAGAGGTCTTCGACGCGTCCCCAGAGAACCCGAACAGCCTTCCCAAGAGGGCCTCTAAATGAACAGCGCATTGATTTCCCATATGTGCTTGAATGTGTTTGGGGTTCTCGCAGTTTCTAACGTCCGACGCCACAAAACGGCCCAAGAAGCCCCAAAGGGAACTCCAAGACGGGCCGAGAGGGCTCCCAGACAGCCAAAGAGATCTTCAAGATGGCCCAAGGGACCCCCACGACGGCCCCAAGAAGGGCCCAAGAGGGGGGAACCCGAACCGAGAATTCGAGTCTTCCGCCCCGAGATGCGCCCAGCAGGCCCCAGGAGGCCCAAAGAGGCGCCTCGTATGTCTTGGGTGTTCGCCTTCTCGAGCTACCGACGCTCCAGGACGGCCCAAGAAGCCTCAAAGACTACTCCAAGACGGCCCAAGAGTCCCCCCAAGAGGGCTCCAAGACAGCCCGAAGGGCGCCGACGTCGGCCCAAGAGGGCCGCAAGACGACTCCACGAAGGGCCCAAGAGGGGGGGAAGCGAACCGACTATCCGAGCCTTCCGCCCCGAGAGGCTCCCGGGAGACGCCAAGAGGCCCCAAAAAGGCCCCAGGGAGACCCCAAACCGTCCCTGAAAGGCTTAACATATTCCCCACGTCTGCCCAAATGAGTCCCATGAGGGCTCCTCAAGAAATGAAGGTGGAAGGTGTCAGATGTAACGGCATTCCACCTATCCTCCTCCTCCTCCTCGTCCTCGTCCTCTTCATGGTCGTCCTCTTCCTTTCCCTCCATTGCATCATCGCCATCATTAGCGCCAACATCACCATAATCACAGCAAAAATCAGGATCCTCAACATCATCCCATCATCCGAATCATCCGAATCATCCCCATCACCATGTGCCTCTTCATCCGCATCATCACCACCACCGCCAACAACCTTATCGTCACCATCATCAGCATCATCATCCGCACCATCGTCCTGTGTCAGAATCATCATCTCATCAGCAGCAACGGCATCATCAGCATCATCATCGTCGTCGCCCCTGACGGGTTCACATACTTCGAACACGCCCCGAAACCCCAAGCCAGATGAGTTGTCACAGGTGACGGCTTCGAGCACCTTGCTCCTAGAACCCGCCCAAGACGGCCCTACGAAACGCGCGACACGTCTTACGGCTCTCCGAAGACCAGATATACAAGATGTCACACATTTGGACATCCATGCTCCCTCGCGCACAGACCATCGAAGAAATTTGGCCGACAAAGTGGCGAGACTTGCCGCAGGCAGCTGGATATATGCAAATTGTGTGGTTCCTGAGCCCCGCACTTAATCTAGAACTCGCCTGCTCAACGCCAAATGGACGTATACAAACCCATGCGTGAGACTGGCGAATTGCCGGCCAGAAGAAGCGACGGCTACGACAAACAACGTGCAGTTTGGACAGATTCACCTACATGTTTCCACACTAGCGTACAAATCCATCACCGGCTGGTTCCCCAGATCATCTCCTTGCTCAGGGATGCATGTCTTCTATAACGCATCTCTTTGCTTTCCCACGTCCCCAGCCCCTCCGAGATAAGCTCATGGATATCAGCCAACCATCGTTTGAAACCCTCCACTTCTCGATGATGAAGGCGTCCGCTGCTTACCTTTCGGCGCGACGCGATCAGGGTATTCCCCAAATGGGCTCTCTCCTCAAGCCGGAGGTCTCCAACACGCAAACGGCTCCCAACAGCCTTGCAAAAAGGAAATATGTCAGGATTTCTGCCATGTTGCGTGCGCGCGCACTTCCTCACCATCCGCTTCAACCCTCGTTATAATCATTGCCAGCGTCGTCATGGCCACCATCATCATCATCATCACCACCACATCCCCGCCATCACCATCACCATCGTCGTCGTTATAATCCCCATCGCTGTCATGAACATTATTATAGTCGTCGTCATCGTCGTTGTCGTCGCCCTCGCCGTCAGCGCCACCATCACAGTTATCATCAACACTCGCCCGCCCGAGTCATAGGGTGGGTGGGATGGTTGCTCGATCATTGACGTTGACGACGAACGCTAGGAACACGATGTCATGTTCTTCTGAGCTCATTGCCCATCTGAGTGTACGACATCGTTGCTCCTATTGTGCCGCACATGGAGAACTCAATAGTCTATTACACGGGGTCAACGTAAAATAAATTTCTACTCAGAACTCAAAGGTTGGCCACAGAAACTGCAAATGCCTGAAGTATACGTCTTGGACGCCACAGTGCACCGATGATCTGTCGCGTACTTCCTAGACAATGCCGAGTGATCCCATGGACGGGTGCATAGGTTCTCGGTTCTAGGGCTGCAGGGCCTAGTCAAATTGAGGGACAAATGAAGAGGAACGCGGCAACACAGACTGCGGAAACGTCGGTATCCATCTTGGTCTTCGTCCATGTGTGTCATCGTCAATTCGTGGATCATCCTCGCGGACCGGCGACGGCCGTCATCGACCACGGCGTCGACAAGATTCCGAGACATCTTGGTCATGTCGTGCTTCTCCCCTCGATCAAGGGCCAAGCACGCAGACTCGAAGGGAGGCTATCGGGAACCGGATGCGCCCGGCCGAGGCGTCTTCTGCAGCCCTTCTCGGGCGGGCCTCTCCCGAAACTCTGCGGGCTGCTCCTGGAGACAACTCGGCGCGGCGCCTCCCGAGGCAGCTCCGGCCTGCGCAGGGCGGCCCAGTGGGACGTCGGACCTGCGCTCGCGAGCCCTCCACCGCCAACGGCCTTTTCACGGTGAGCGGTCGCTCTCGGGTGGCAGCGGCTCAGAAATCCCAGCGGCCCGACCTAATAGGAAGCGGTGAATTGCAGTGACGAAACGCTGTCGCTCAACGCATGCAATCGAGCGCTGTCCTCTCCCTCCTCCTGCTTTGTTGTTTCTCGTTCTCCTCCCCTGACGCCTCCTCCTCCTCCTCCTGCTACTCCACCTCGTCCCCCTTCTCCCCTCCTCCGCTCCGTCTCCCAGGGTACCCCCTTCCCCTTCATCCCTCCCACTCTCCTGGGTAAGCACCTTGGCTATGGGAATGCCAGATTGGCGTGATTTCGGTGTCTGTACGGCCCAGAAACTTAGGATGATGTAGGGATTCCCATCATTTGTTCACAGCCCTGGCCCACTACAATGATATTGTTACGTTTCGCGGTGCAACACATCACACGCTATCGACTGTTGTCCGAACCTTTCCTGATGATGCCTGACCGACCCCGCCGCCGACCTCAACGCCCGCACCGCCCCCCCTCCACCTGCGCTTCAAACTCTCAGACCGTAAGGGTGCGACACCCCGAGCAACATACATTGGGAGCCGTCCAAGCCACTCTGACCGTTCTCCGCTGACCACCCTCGCCGATCCCCTTCTCTCAGGAAGCTGCCAAACACGACGCGGCCGGCGGGCCCGAAGCCTCGAACGACCAGGCAGGCCGGCGGGGCATCAACAGCCGGTCGTCGCGCGTCACGCGGAATGCGTCCAGCGTGAGCACCTTGCGCACGCATGCGGAAGCTATCTGAAACAACAACGAAACAGCAAACACAATCGAGGGTCGTCAGACGCCAACCCTGCTGCCAAACCCAACGCGTGCTTTCACACCTTGTGCTGCTCAGCCTAAAAACCGCTCGGCCTTGCTTGTGGCAGGCACCTGGCACAGAGCGCTGGAGGTCCCCCCCCCTGGAGAAGACACCCTCGCGGCTTCTGTGGACTCCAGGGGTGGCTGGCAGGGCAGGCTTAATTCGACTCGAGGTCGCGATCGTCCTTGGGCCTCCCTTGGTTCCTCCAGAACTCCCCACGGCGGCTCGTAACCCCCTGCGATATTATAAGAACCCCCCAGAAACGATCTAAACGATCTTGAAGAGCGCCCTGGGAAAACACTGGCACGTTAGGAACCTTCAAACACGGAAAGTCTTGAATGCTTCTGCCTTGCTCCCGAGGCCTCCAAACGGTACCTCATTAGCCGCAGAATGGCCTTCTGGCACAGAGAGCCACGAGACGGCCACAAGATGGCAACTTAAAGACGGAAAGACGGCACCACTAACATTGCCCAGCTAAGAACAACCCAGAGGCGCCCCAATATCACCGAAAACAGCTCCAGAGCCCCCGCCTTACCCCCCCCACGCCCCACGGCCTCACGACAAATCAAAGCAGCGCCGAGTGCCCCTTATGACCTCCTAGAAGCTCCCAATTGGCCAAAGAAGTGCTGACCGAGAGTTCCCCACTTGTTTCCGCACGAGTCACTTCGCAAACGATATAAGGACGCGGCCGTGCCAAGCTGTAGTGTTGCAGCGCATCTTCCTCGAACGCGTCGGCTGATAAGCTTGGCCGTGCTACCACAACTGGGAGAATTATCACGAGATTGCCATGTCCAGTGATGGCCGCCCGCACTCCGTGCAGGAGCCACCAGGCTGCGACGATTAGGCTTCAGCAGCTGAACAGCTCAGCTCTCACCAATTTAATGAGTTATTCTGCTACAGCGTTCAACTAGGATCTGGAGCGGATAATTTAATTAGCTTGGCGACCAAACCAACAAGACACACTTGAGAGTACCGTCGTTCTGAATATCGTCTTCGATGTGCCGAGATGAGGCGGGGCCGCCGATGGCACATTCGGTGGAGCCCCCTATTCGGCCACGAAGCGTGCGAAGGTGTGCCGATAATTATGGGTGGCGGGAACGCCTGCGAGCAGCGCCACTGAAACCTTCGGTGGAGCTCCACTGGGACCTTCGGTGGAGCACCCTCTGGAGCCACGAAGCGCGTGAGGAGCGTGCCGAAACGGGCGGCGGGGACGCATGCAGGCTGCGCCAGTGGGACCTTCGATGGAGCTCCAGCTGGAGCCACGAAACTTGTGAGGGTGCCGAAATGCTTGGAAAGAATGCATGCGGGCTGCGCCGCTGGAACCTTCGATAGAGCTTCCTATGAGTTTGCTGGGGCCACGAAGCGTGTGGGGGTGGTACCAATATGGGTCGCCGGGACGCCTCGGGCTGCGTCCGTGTCCCTATGGCCCCACGGAACTTCTGAGGGTGCGCCGATCTGGTTGGCGGGGACGCATGCGGGTTGCGCTGCTGGGACCTTCGGTGGAGTTCCCCATGAGGTCACGAAGCGCGTGAGGGTGTGCCGGCATGGCTGGCAAGGACGCTTGCGAGCTGCGCCACTAGGACCTTCCGTGGGCTCCCCATGGAGCCACGAACATGTGAGGATGCGCCGAAATGTGTGAGGGGGGGACGCATGCGGGCTGCGCCACGGGGACCTTTGGTGGAGCTCCCAATTTGGCCACGAAACGTGTGAGGGTGTGCCGGCATGGATGGCGGGGGCATGTGCGACCTGCGCCGCTGGGACATGCGGCGCATCTCCCTTCAGGCCACAAAAACGTGTGAAGGGTGTGTCACCGTGGGTGGCGGGGACGCATGCGGGCTGCGCCACTAGGACCTTCGGTGGGTCTCCCTATGGTGGGGCCACGAAACTTGTGAGGATGCGCCGAAATGCGTTGCGGGGACGCCTGCGAGCAGCGCCACTGGGGCCTTCGGTGGAGCTCCACTGCGACCTTCGGTGGAGCTCCCTATGGAGCCACGAAGCGCGTGAGGAGCGTGCCGAAACGGGTGGCGGGGACGCATGCAGGCTGCGCCAGTGGGACCTTCGGTGGAGCCCCCTGTTGGGCCATGAAACGTGCGAGGGTGTGCCAGTATGGATGGCGGGGATACTTGCGGGCTGCCCCGCTGGGACATGCGGCGCAGCTCCCTTTCGGGCCACAAAACGTGTGAGGGGTGTGTCCCCGTGGGTGGCGGGGACGCATGCGGGCTGCGCCACTAGGACCTTCGGTGGGGCTCCCTATGGAGCCACGAACATGTGAGGATGCGCTGGGGGGAACGCATGCGGGCTGCAGCACGGGAACCTTCGGTGGAGCTCCCTATGGGGCCACGAAACGTGTGAGGGTGTGCCGGCATGGATGGCGGGGGCATGTGCGGGCTGCGCCGCTGGGACATGCGGCACAGCTCCCTGTGGGGCTGCGAAACTTGTGAAGGTGTGCCTATCCGGTTGGCGTGGACGCATGCGGGCTGCGCCGCTGGGACCCTCGGTGGAGTTCCCCATGGGGCCACGAAACGTGTAAGGGTGTGTCGAACTGGTGGCTGGCAGGGGCGCTGGAAAGCTGCGCCACTAGGACCCTCGGTGGGGCTCACGATGGGGCCACGAACATGTGAGGATGTGCCGATATGTGCGGGGTGGACGCAGCATTGGGGCTGCAAGACTGGGACCTTATGTGGAGTTTTCCATGGGGCCACGAAGCGTGTGAGGGTGCGCCGGAATTGCTGGCAGGGACGCTTGCGAGCTGCGCCAGTGGGACCTTCGATGGAGCTCCCTATGGGGCCACGGACATGTGAGGGTGTGCCGAATTGGTTGCCCTATGAGTTTGAGGCCACGAAAAGTGTGGGGGTGGTGCCAACATGGGTGGCGGGGACGCCTCCGGGCTGCGCCCGTGGGACCTTCGGTGGAGCTCCCTATGGGGCCACGGAACTTCTGAGGGTGCGCCGATCTGGTTGGCGGGGACGCATGCGGGTTGCGCTGCTGGGACCTTCGGTGGAGTTCCCCATGAGGTCACGAAGCGCGTGAGGGTGTGCCGAAACAGCTGGCAAGGACGCATGCGGGCTGCGTCACTAGGACCTTCGGTGGGGCGCCCTCTGGGGCCACGAAACTTGCGAGGATGTGTCGAAATGCGTGGCGGAGACGCATGCGGGCTGCGCCACAGTGACCTTCGGTGGAGCCCCCTATGTGGCCACGAAACGTGTGAGGGTGTGCTGGCATGGATGGCGGGGGCGCTTGCGTCTGCGCCGCTGGGACATGCTGCGCAGCTCCCTTTCAGGCCACAAAACGTGTGAAGGGTGTGTCACCGAGGGTGGCGGGGACGCATGCGGGCTGCGTCACTAGGACCTTCGGTGGGGCTCCCTCTGGGGCCACGAAACTTGCGAGGATGTGCCGAAATGCGTGGCGGAGACGCATGCGGGCTGCAGCACGGGGACCTTTGGTGGAGCCCCCTATTGGGCCACGAAACGTGTGAGGGTGTGCCGGCATGGATGGCGGGGACGCATGCGGGCTGCGCCGCTGAGGCCTTTGGTGGAGTTCCCTATGGGGCCGCGAAACGTGGGAGGGGTGTGCCAAAGTTGACGTGCGGAAATCAGAGGGAGGATGACGGGAGCAGGGAGGAGGGGGAGGGTTCGGATCGGAGGGCCGTGGAGACTTGGTCAAAACAGGGCACTGGCAAGCACATCATCGTTCCTGGAAGGGGACTCCTGACTTTGAAATGAGGCCCCTGGACGATCGACTGAGCACCTCAGCCCCCGCCTTGGTAGGGCCACGATGCGGACATTCCTTCCTCAAGTCGCGCACATTCACCGTGCCAAAGTGGGCAAGTTCGACAATACAAAACGCCACAAATTATAAACAACGTGTGTGTACTGCGCACGTGAGGAAGCAACGCCTGCTGCATCGGTGGTGACGAGGAGTGCAGGAGGAGGGGCGCGGGGCGCTCTCTTCAAAACGAGGACCCAACACCACATGATGTTTGGGATGAGCGTGGCTACCTAATCACCAGCTCTCAGAATACACAAGTGCACAGAATCTCGCGAAGCGAGATCTTGAGTTTCTGATATCGCGCTCGACTCCCAACGACCCGAAAACACGACGGATCATACAATACCGCTGGAACCACGCATTCAAGAATAGTGCAAAATTACGGATCTGCACTCCCGTTGCCAAGATTGCTAGTCCGTCGACCCCCGCGTGCTGGGGGTGAACGGGCTGCGAGGCGTTTGGCTGTCTCCCTTCCCAGTTTTCCCTCAAGTCCAAATTCCGTTCAGGCGGGGGTGCACGAGCTTTCCAGCGCACCTCCCTGGCCTTCGGAGCCTCCAATTCCACCCACCGCGCCTCCAAGACGGCCCAAGAGGCCTGGACGACGCCAAATGAGGACCCAAGATTCAAGAGGACCCACAAGACGTCCTCGAGAGGCCCAACTAACAGATTTCCCAAAGGGGAAAAGGTTGTTGAATGATTTTCGCATTGTCAGCATTGCGGTTTTGTGAGCCCCCGAGAAAGCCAAGAAGCTTCTATACTGATCCAGTGCTGCCAATGAAGCTCCCGTCGGCGAGAAGTCGTGGGGGAACGTGTATGTCTGACGAGAACGAGCCAGACCCTGCAAGCTGCCTGCGGCAAAACTCACCAGACAACGATGTCTGACGAGAACGTGCTTGACCCTACAGATGTTTGCACGTGCGCGAAAGACCATGTATGTCTGACGAGGAAGCCTTGCGCACACGCACGCTCTCCCAGAGAAAAGCCCCCGCCCCAGCGCTCCGGCTGGTGATTTACCCAGCCTTCAGAGCAAGCGCACAATAACGGGCAACATGGCACCTACCAGCTTCCTCCAACCGCCCCCTGCTGCCCTGCCCTGCCCCCAGAGCTCCCGTCCACCTCATTCAAGCTACCATCCCGCCGGGACCCGTCGGCAGGCCCTAACCCGGCACCCCCTGCGCGAGATGAAGCAAGGGGAAAGAAGAGGACCAAAAAGCTACGCAGAATGCGACGACCACCAAATGAACCGAACCCAACCACCCGTTTCCGACATGAGATGCCCTTGCATGAAACGACACACCGCAACCCGACATCTTCCCTGGAGCACGGGAGCGGCACAGGCAGAGTGGGAGGCGCACTGGCCCTCTCGGAATGTGGTTTAGGGTGTCAGCCCCTCCCAGAAGGATGAATAAAGAATTTCCCTCCTCTTTCACTGGGCCTCGCCACGTCCCCTGCAATGCTTCAACTTTTGCAGACCCTACAAAGCCCATCTGCAAATATCGGTTGCACTACACCGCAAGCAGACCCTGCAATACTCTGCAAGCCCTGCAAACCATGACACTGCAATACCCTGCAATACATTGCAGACAAGTCATGCAATATACTGCAATCACAACACGACGGCACAAAAGGTCCACAAGAGTACCCCCAAGAGACCCCCGAGAGGGCCCCATGGCCTAAGGGCGTCCCCAAGGACTTAGCGCCCCAAGATGAACCAAGAGAACTTCTTCCAAAAGTCACACAGATCGAACGATCCTGGAAGGCGTTTACAGCTCTACTCAGCCTGCTCTCGAGATGCGGCTTGACGACTGCTCCCCGGTTTGTTCCAGAGCATGCTCACTCAATTTGGAGATCGACGAGGAGAACAGGGAAAGGAATGTGGGCATCCGACGAGAAACGTTTCTCGGATCACTCTCGGTGGTGTAACATCGCACCAGCGCAAGCGGGCAACAATCGACCCGAAGCACAAATCACATACCAGCACAACGGAATTCCCACAACATGCTCAGACACTTGTGGGGCCACCATGCTCAACAAATCCGCCGGCCCCCTTGTGGGGCCACCAGGCTGTAGGCCGAGGATTCGCCGTTTCCTGTGCCAGTTGCGGCTTCAAGTTTCCACTGTTACAGTTATGATTATTGCTGATTGCTGGTCCTTGTTGTTGACTTCTTGCTGCATACTGTTCCTTGTTGATGGACCGCGCGAGGGGGGAGGCCCAAAACGGACATTTTTAACACGGCCGAAACGTATTGTCTGAATTGCTGGGGTGGGTCAGGAATTACACCCCTCACGCAGATCGGCGGGGTCAGGGTCCAAAAACACAAGGGATTTGCTGCATTTGTAAAATTCTGTGGCACCCGTGACGCAGATCGGCGGGGTCAGGGTCCAAAAACATATGGGATTTGCAACATTTCTGAGATTTGTTGGCACCCCTCATGCAGATCGGCGGGAACAAGGTCGAAAAACAAACAGGTCCCGACACTGCTTCACGGCGAAGCCACAGCCTCATGATTTCGCTTTTTCATGGCCCATTCTCCGAGAGAGGGGGCCGGCGGCAGGGGGCGAAGCCCTTACGGTAAATTCGAGATGGAATCGTCTGTACCTAGGCTTGTGGGTTTAGGCTGAATGCCAATCGCCGAATCACGTTTCACAAGACCGGACCTGCGACCAGGCCGAGGGCACGCAGTCAAACTGAGGAGAGAAACAATGCTCTCAGCATGGGAATCACGACGACAGCAACAGGATAATGGCTGCCTCCGAGACCTCGGCATCATCAGCGATAGCTTGGCCGATGGGCACAGCTGCATTTCGAATGCGGCGGTCGACGTTGATCTGCGACTCGCTAGCTAGAACCTGCAATGATGATTCCACTTGAAGACACAGCGCATGAAGAATTCAAGTCGTTGTTCGGAACGGCAGCTCTATGTGACTGGGTACGTCTAACCTTCACACTTGAATGTGTTGCCAACCCTCCTGCGTTGGGTTCTCGATTTGAATAGATCATTCGGCCGCCCTTACCTGTCTGCTGCCCTGCCTCCTACCTGTCTTCTGCCCTGCTTCCTACTTGCCTATTACCCTGCGTCCTCGCCCTCCCCGGGGGGCTGCGCTCTGCGAAACCGCTGCCAATTTCGAAGGCCGCAGCTAGTGGGTCCAACCGACAGACGTCGTACGCAAACGCACATTGGACCTCATCATCCCTGGGGGGCTGAGGATTGCGACAACTTTCGGGGGTGCGGGGGTCCACCGGAACGGCGTCATATGCAGACGTATATTCGACCTCGCCATCTCTGGCGGGGGCTGGGGTCTGCGAAGCTGTCGCTACTTTCGAAGGCTGAAAAAAAGAGGGGGCCCAGCGGAGTGACGCAATACGCAGACGCAGACTGGACCTCACCGTTCCTGCGGGGCCGAAGTGCGAAGCTGCCGCCACCTTCGGGGGTCAGCGGGGTCCAGCGGAGTGACGTTATACGCAAATGCGGGCGGGGGCTGCGAACAGCAGGACTGTCGCCACCTTCGGGGGCCCTTGGGGGCCCAGCGGAGTGACATCATACGCAGACGCAGGTTGGACCTCGCCTTCCCTGGGGGCGCGGCGGTCTGCGAAACTGTCGCAACGTTCGAGGGCTGCTTGGGGGGTCCAGCGGAGTGACGTCACACGTAGACCTAAACTAGACCTCGCCATCCCTGGGGGGCTGCGAACTGGGAGACACTTGCCACTTTCGAAGACTGCTGGGGGCTGGGGGTCCACCAGGGTGACGTCCTGCGCAAGCCTCAATTCGACCTTGCCGTCAAGGGGGGGGGGGGGCGCTCTGCGAAACTGCCGCCACTTTCGAAGGCTGCTGGTGGACCCAGTGGAGTGACGTCATACGCAGACGCACATTTAATTTAGTTGTTTTTGGGGGGGCTGCTATGTGCGAAACTGTCGCCAGTTTCAAAGGCTGCTTGGGAGTCCACGGGGGGCGCTTGTCCTACGCAAATTTAGATTCGACGTCGCAATCCGTTGGGTGGCTGCGAACTGCGGAACTGGCCGCTGGGAAATATATCGCCGTGACTTCCTACACAAAATATGTGTTTTGATTGCCTTTTCCCGCGAGCCGACCAAAAGACCTGGCGGCGCGCCTGCGGGCGTTCGACTCTCGCAGCGCAAAGTGCCGGAAGGAAGCGGAAAACCTGGCGGACGAGTTCGGCCCCGCTCGCTTCTTGCACACAGAGTTAACAGCTGGTCCTTTAGAGCGCCGGGGCGACATGGCGAGGGCCGCGCTGCGTGTCCATGGAATTGTTGCCGCACTCCTTCCTGATCCTGCCTCTTTCACTGTGGACCTCTCCTTCAACCGTATCCCTGCTGCTGGCGCGTTAACTTTTCTGCCGTGTTCATCCCCCTCGTGTCACTCCCGTTTCCTCTTGGAGCCTCAGTCCTCGTCCTTCTGTTGCTGTCCAGAAAGTCGCGCAATGCGCGCGCTTCCCATGTAGCTCCCACGACCAATGGTACACCTTGTCTTGCCATCAGCTTTACGACTCTGGAACAACTCCGCTTTTCACTTACTGCAGATGGGGTGGATACGTCTCAAAATAACTCTTGTCTGGCACTTACGTATTATCCCCATCGGATGCCGCACATCTGACCAACATGTACGACCCAACTTGCAAACGCGCGTTGCCGTGCAATTGCTACTTCAAGGGTCCCTTGCTACTCCGTGCTATGAGCTTCAAGGGCTTCAAGTTGGGTTCCTTACCACCACCACTCCAAAAATGCAGCACACTAAAAGAAATGGCCCATATATATATCGCCTATCATAACAACCGTGGAAACATTTTACCAACACCGTGAACAGCGTGCACAATCTAGTAGTATCCATTATGACTCGGGTGCAGCGCTACACCGACACGAAGAAATAGATCAACAATCTTGGTAGCCGACGCGCGGCACCATTCAAGCTGCAACACATCAGGATACAAAAACGGGGCACGTAACATGACATGGCACGGGGCCAACAAATCACCGCCCAGTTACCTCCGACTGAAATCTGGCATGGGTGAGGGCGGGGAGCCAGGCAGTGGGCGGAGCCAAACGCGGGGCAAATGTACTCATGCCATGGGCTGGGATTCAGGAGGCAAGCGTTATGCCGTCCATGGCCAGCTGTCCTTTCTTCGACATCATCGTGAGAGCGTCTCGAGACAACTGCACGTTTGCAAGCGAGGCCCGCCACATCAGACAAACGACGAAAACTCAAGACATGCGATATCCAACCCATAGTGAACCGTCTTCACGTCAGAGGTCGTCGGCGCTCGCTTGCCCGCCTCTAGCACCTGCCCGTTGAGTGTGAACTCGGGGACGACGGCAGCTTTACGAATGTCAAGCGCAACGGAGTTCAGGTCTGTAGGGCCCGGCGTGACATGCCTTTGTGTCTTGACAGCCTGGGGCGCAACGGAGAACAGTTACTTCCTCTCGTCACACGTCTTCGCATTTGCTAACGCATGCGAAAAAGACCGCCACCGACACCTTAACGAAAGCCCGAAACATGCCACCGTCCACGAAGTCAACGGTCAACGTGCGCGTGACACAAAACATCCCTACTGAGCTGCGCTGAAACAAGCCGACCTGAGGCTTCCAGAAGGCTCAAGAGAGACCCCGGTCAAATCCTCCAAAAATGCCCATCGAAATGCTGATCGTCTTTTCTGTGAACGCCCGTGGTCGTCCATTCTGCATTGTCCAAAAGCCTGAATATGGCACCAGCGCCGCTCTGGACATGCTCCAAGCATTACACGAGATCCCTGAAGGGCCCATGCCCGACCCGAAATGGCACCAGGAAGGCCCAGGACCAGCACGTGACTGCTCCAACGGAGCCCGAGACGGCTCCAAGACGGTCCCGAAAGGCTCCTACATTGCGGTAGCCAACCTCCGAGGTGTCCCCAAATCCCCGACGAACCCTCCAGATGCCCTCCAGATGCCCCCCAGATGCGTCTCCTAATTTTGACCCCAAGCCACCAACAGGCCACATGTGCGGAACATCTGACTATACATGTGGAACACGTGGGCCGGCGGACTTGGAGCAAGCCTCAAACGTCTGCATGCTCTCACAGGCTCTGATCTTTGCTGTGCCCCATCATTCGCGACCAAAGCATCCCAATGCAGCGCAGCTGGCACTGCAGACTGCAAAGGAAAACCACCAGGCACACGACTAGCCCCACAGGATGCGCCAGCATTATGGTGGTTAGATGTGGCGCCCTATCGAATTGAATTGTATTAGCCTGGCACTCCCGAGAAACATCAGTTTGAACAGAAACTTTGCTCATGCTGTGAAAATGTACAGAAACAACTCAACGTTCGAGGCCAACGTGCAGCACGAGGTGTGCGCTTGTGTATTTGACCTGGTGTCAGGAGCTTTCTTGTATCTGCTGTGCGCGACAATATGGTCGAACATGATTTCCTTTGAAAATGCACGGATTCATTAAATCACATCTTTGGCGCCGACGTCAAGCCAGAGCAAGCTCAGCCCCGGCAACAAACCTCGCAATCAATCAATGCCTTCGCCAAGGCAGAGATCTTGTGCTTCGACTTCGCCTTTGGCGGCATCGCGCAAGATCGGCCTGCAGTCTGACGAATGCTGCAGGCTGGTTGGCTGAGCCTGAAAGGCTGCGAATGACAGCAGGTGTGGCCTCATCCTAGCTACTTCATGTTTCCCATGGTCACTAAAAAGGTCTTCAAACCAAAGCAGTGCGACATCCACCCTAATTCAGTGTGAGCACAGCTAATGATCAAGTAAGTAGATCCTGCATGTGTGCATACATGGACCGCAATGGTTGCTTCCACTAGTTCGCGTCATTTTGGGCGTTGACAATTTTGGGGGCACCAGCAACGCTTAACGTCTAAATCCAAACCAAGAACAAATATGCGAAGTCGCGGGCGCCGATCATCGTCTGCTTCTTTTCTACCCTGTATACTCAAACTATCTCCCCTATTATCTAGATGCTCCCCCACATAGCCAATATTTAATAATGCCGGATCTCTCACCTTAGCCTTTTGCTCTCTAATGTTTGCTATCTCCTCTCTGCTCTCGACTTGATGGCGTTGTACAATGTGCGGTCAACTCGTTCCCAATAAACTCTGCACTCTGAGATGTACATTTGCACGCACACACACAAACACACAAACACACAAACACACACATATAAACAGATACACAACACACCAATGCCGTCTAAACCCGTGTGGCCCCATAGTCCATGCCTACCGGTCAAAGCTCTTCGCTATCGTCTCTGCCCGCTAGTCCGACGTGCTGCCATCTGCCCTCCGCTCTTATGTCCAACAAGAACAGCCCATACGCTCACTGATGCTAATACGTGGAATCCGTACGGCCGATTCGCGCAAGAAACGCGGGAACCACACCTGCGTGTGTGTGTGTGTGTGTGTGTGTGTGTGCGTGCGTGCGTGCGTGCGTGCGTGCGTGCGTGCGTGCGTGCGTGCGTGCGTGCGTGTGTGTGTGTGTGTGTGTGTGTGTGTGTGTGTGTGTGTGTGTGTGTGTGTGCGCGAATGTGTGTGTGTGTGTGGAACAGATTGCCAAGCTGCGTCTTGGACCCACAACGCCATGACAAACACCTAGATTTATAACGCCATGTGCCCTCAATCCGACACGTGAGGAACCCCACATGTGGCGACTCCTCAAGTGTGTGGAAGTGAGTGCGTCTGGAATTACAAGGAGTGTGCGATCCCATGTGCGTGGGACCTTGCTGCACCAACCCCATGCGCCTGGATCCCCATGGGGCCACGGCGCGTGAAACACAGCAAGGCGACAGCGGCGAAACCCTGACTGGTCGGGCCATCTCCTTGAAACCCGAGTCGCGATTTACGAACTACTTGAAAGCGAGCGCCCGTAGGGCCCCGCCCACGAAACCCTCCTAATTGGGCCTCACGAGCCCCACTCCAAGCGTCCAGCTGCCGAGGGCGATCTGTCCGTTGGTCCAATGATTGTTCTATAACGTGCCACAATACGATCACACCCAGATGCAACCGCCAGTTTCACTGCCTGCTGAATGTTGCCAGCAGGCCACGCGCACACCAGCAGGCACACACACACACCATAATCAAGCAATCGACCCACGCAAACAATGCGAGCACTGCCAGCAAGTGCGCAAACACACCGAATACAAGCACGCAACCAATCGAGAAATTTGCAATCGCCATTCTAATCAATCGAGCCGGCAAGCTGGCACGTCATGCAGCCGTAAGGAATGGCGCAGGTGACCAGACAAGTCATGCAAACACAAGCAAGCAATCCCTGCGCACACAATTGGGCAAGAACGCAAACACACATTTTTTCCAGCCAACAGGAGCCAAGCCGCAAGGGGGGAGAAACGACAACGAGGAACGACACGACAACGGCGCGCGGAGGAGCGGGGCGGGAGGGAGGGGGGGATGGAGGGGGGGCGGGCGCGCCGGGGGCGGGCGCGCGCCAGGCGCAGCCCCGCGGGCCGCCCTGGCGCGCCGCCCGCCGAGGCGGCCAGGCGAGGCCGGGCCGCCAGCGCCGCTGGAGCTGGGCGGGGCGGGCGGGGCTAGGCCCAGCCTGCGGCCTTGGCGGCGACCCGCAACTCGCGCCCACGCGCGGCGGCCGCAGCCGCGTCGCGCTCGGCTAGCGCGCCGGCGGCCTCCGCGAGTCGCGCGCTCGCCTCGCGGAAGCTGAAGCCCTGCAGGGAGACCCGCAGCAGCGACGCGACCTCCCGCGCCGCTGCTCGCCCGCCCGCGCACGCGCGGGCGCGGGTCGCTCCCCACAGCTCCGCGCAGGCGAGCGCGAGGGCGAACGCGTCCTCGCCCTCCTCCCCCCGCGCGCCGCCGTCCGCCGGCAGCGAGCCGGGCGCCTCGGGGGCGCCGGCCCCGGCGCCGCGGGCAGCCACGGGGGCGCCCGCCGCGGCGCCGCCCTGGGGGCGCTCGCAGCGCGGCGCGCGACGGCGCCGCCGACGGCCGCCCCTCCACTCGGGGAAGCGCTCGCCGCGGGAGCGTGCGCCGCGGGCGTGCCCAGCGCAGCCGGCGTGAGCGCCGCCCGGCGCCGGCTGCTCGCCGCCAGCCTCGGCGCGCGGCGCTGCCGCGGGCCGTCCGCCGCGGCGCCAGCCGCGGTGCCGCGAGCGCTCGCCGCTCGGCGCGCGGGGGCCGCGGGCCGCCCCCCCCCCCGGGGAAGCGATCGCCGCGTGTGCGCGCCACGGGCGCACCGGGCGCACCCGGCGCGGGCGCCGTCTGCTCGCCGCCAGCCTCGGCAAGCGCCGCCGCGTCCTGTCGCGAGCGCCAGCCTGCCGCCGGGGGCGCGCGCCAGCCCGCCGCCGGCCGTGCTAGCCTCGGCCCCCTCGCCGGCGGAGCAGAACCCGCGCGCGCCGCCCCGGGCCGCGGCGCGGCTTCCCATGTGCTTTCGATCTTTGCAAACTAGCCGTCAACACAAATCGTATGCGCTTATTAGTACTGATTCGATCTTAAATGATTAGCGCTGACCCCGCTCTAATTAGCGCTGACGATTAGCGCTGGCTCCGCCTTGATAATCTTGATCGCTCGCGCACCTCGTGCGTCTGTCAGCATATCCGTCCACTTATCGTTTCCTGTCGTTGTCGTCGCCCCCCCCCCCCCCTCCGCCCCTCCAAAAAATAGCACCCTGTGGAGGCGGCCGCTTGAAGCGCGCGCCAGCAGGGCAGCGTGGCGCCTGATTTCCGAAGGCATCGCGGTTCGAGGACCAACGCGTTTCTTTCCTTTTCGGTTCGCCGCCATGCCCCGCGCGAGGCGCGAGCTCACGGACGATGACCCGCAGGCGATCGCGCTCGAGCACGTCGCCGAGATCGAGGAGGCGAAAACGGAGCAGGGCGATGCAGAGCACACAATCAAGAACAACATGGGCTTGATGGGGTCTTTGATGAGCGCTACCCGCGGGGCGGGGCACGCGCGCTCTCCAGGGCCATCTTGGCCAAGACGGCGCTCGGGAAGGAGCAGGCGCAGAAGCGCGGGAAAGCGGTTTCGCACGCTGTGAGCTACGTGAGCGGCAAGGAGCGCAATGTGGCGACTGGCGAGAGAGCGCCCCCCCATGTCAGAATCCTGCGGCGCAAGATGGCTCGTGCGCCAGCGCCGCTCCCATCCCCGTCGCCAGATGCCGGGCGCGCCTCTGCCGCGGCAGCGCCTTCGGGGCCCTCGGCGGGCGCGGGCGACGACGCCTGCGAGGCGCGCGCGGCTGCGTCGCCGCGCAGGGTCGTGGCCAAGACGCCCGAGAAGAAGAAGACGCCAGCCTGCGTGGACTTGGCCTCGCCAACGCCAGCAGTGGACCCCCGCGGGCGCACCTCCAGGAGCGCCGGCGCAGTTCGCGCGTTTTCTTTCTTGTACCATGTATGCATATGCACGTATTCTGTCGATGCATGAACTCGCGCGCGCGCAGATCGCGCGCGCGCGCCCATTCGATGCCGCCAGGACATGAGCAGGCGCGCGGTGCACGTGGACTACGATGCCTTCGTGTTCGTTGTCGAGGACGCCTCGGGTAGGCACGAGTATCCTCTGGCGCGTGGCGAACAAGGCTTCTGCGCGGCTGATCTCGGAACCGGCGAGGCGCTCGTCGCAGCGATGCCGAATCTCGCGCTCGACGAGAAGGGGGAGATGCTGGCCAAGCGGGCTTCCGGGGACGAAGCCAAGGAAGCCGCCAAGGCGAGGCCCCACGACGAGGGCTACGAGGACGACGAGATGGAGGACGAGGAGGAAGAGGAGGACAAGGGACCCGCGGACAAGGCGAAGACAAAGGGCCCGCACAAGGCCAAGCCCAAGGCCAAGGCCGCGACCGCGCACAAAAGGCCAGCTGGCCACGGCGCGGAGCACGTGGAGATGCGCCACAAGAGGCGCGGGCGCATCGCAGCGCGCCAGAAGCTCGAGCCGAAACGCCAGGCGGCACCCAGCGGGGGCGCGCGGCCCATAGACTGCGACGCGGGCGATGCGCGGGCCGTCGGCCGCGAAGCAGTGTCTTTGATGGGCAAGGGCGAGCTTTCCGAGGAAGGCGCGGCGGCGCGGATGTCCCGGAGGCCGACGGAAAAGTTTGGGAAGTGATGGGGCGCTCGATGCGGCGCCGCAGAGCCGCGCGATGTTTAGGGCCCTCTGATGGCCGAGATAAGACGCCGCGGCGTCGCGCGGCGCGATGAGGATGGCAATCGCGAAGCGCAGGGTCGACCAGCTCGTTGCGCTCACGCGCGTCGCGTCGCAAAGCTGGCGCGCGCAGTTCCGCCCCGCCTGCATTCGCGGCGCCCCTAGTTCGCCCCCCTGGGGCGCGCGCCCCAATGCTCGCGATTTTCGCGCGGCTCGCGCGAGAGCGCAACCGCGCGCGTCGCAGTCGCAGCGGCTCTCGTGGCGGCGGCGGTAATTACCAGGACCGAAAGCGCTCCTTCGCGGGGTACCCCTGGGGGAAAAAAGGCAGTCGCCCTGGCTGAGCTTACCGCCCCAGCACGTGTTGAGAACACCGCCGGAAAATTTGCCCGCGCCGCTGCGCTCCTTGGCGTCCAGATTCCACGCCCGCTCACCTGGACTCGAAAGTCGCAGATTCCGGTGCTGGCGACGATCGCCCCGCGTCCTGTGCGCACCAAAAACCATGACATCATCTCGGAGGCTGGTTCTCCACTACGCGATGACCA